ATGTGGATGTGCTATTGTGAAAATTTGCCATTGTCGATGTTGAAAAGGATGTTCACGGTCATTCATAGGCCTCACAAATCCAGCCACATAAGACCTAAAATTATTATTCCTTGTTGGTCTTGGGGTCGATGGTTGACCCTGGGTTCTTAATGGGGAGGGTATTGGTCCACTATGAGCGTTCGTCAGTATTACCGCTGTATTCACTAGGATCGATATAGATTCGGTTACAGACATTGCAAACGTCTTTTCCCCCATCGAATGAGGGGGTTATTCTTCATTGTTGTTTGGTTGATTGACCATTCTTTTAACATATTTCCTTTTTGGTATTTCATCGTTAGTTCTGGATATTCTATCACTTCTCAATCTCATGCAACAATGTTTAATGAAAAAGCTTATTGTAAAAAATAAATTTTTCTAAAAAAACTAGAATTGAGTCCCACTGGACGTGCCAACTTGTTTACTGTGAAATTTAGTAAATAATCGCTAGTCTTCTAAATTCTAATGACTCTGATTACTTACAATATCGATTAGATTGATCCTAAGACAACAGTGTATAGTTTTAGTTGTTTTATAGGTTTTTTATGGATATTGATCTTTTCGACTATGAGAGTAAGTTCGAACATAAATGACGAAGAGAAAGATAAAGATGACAGAACATGTAAATGACAAGAAACTAAAGGTTTTCGACTAAAAGATATAAGGAGTTGTAAATGACTTTAAAAATGTAAATATTGCATTGAAAGGTAAAAAGTGGTATTTCAAACGTACATTCTTAGGAAACTCGTTTCTCGATTAACTTTGATACTTTGAGTGGATAGAGTAATTTGTATAATAATTGAACACTCAGAAATCTAAAACTAGAGACTCCTATTAATACTAAATCTACACGAACGATATTTTCATCAGAAGAGGACATGTTCTCACCTGCATGCTTTCTACCCTTCACATGCTTTCATGCATCTCTTTTCAAAAGGAACAAATAAGCGCCAAAATTTGAATGTTCAACCTTATTCCAAATCTCTCTATCGAACCCGCTTCAATCACATCTTCAAAACACTATGTTTTGACTTTATGCTTTATTCACCAAATCTCGGTCAAAAAAGACCAATGTCGAAAACATCTTCATTATTCTTGATTTCCTTTAAAACCTTGATGTCCTCATTCAATCTTTAAGCGTCGAATTTTTAGCTAACACTATTATACCTTTCCGAATAGGGAATTGACTCACGAGTCTAACTCACTAATATGTAGTGACATATGGGCCTTTTAAATCATTTGATTTTATTTCGGGCTCGAATACAATATTTTATACTTTCTTCAATTTTCTATTTTATTTTGACTTTGAATTAAAAGTCCATTATAATTTTTTTTTCTATTTTTTTTTTACTTTGGATTAAAAGTCTATTATAAACTTTTTTATATGTATTTAAACATCTTTGATTGTGGTCGTAAATATTATCTTTGATCGTAATAAAATTCAGTAGTTTTTCTATCTAATGGATTTCAGAGTTTTATTTGATAAATTTTTCTCTTGCAAACTTATTTTCTTATTATAGGTTTAACCCTTACTAATCTGTAATATTTCCAACGATTAATCAGTAAATGATTTCATCTCAGCATACAAAGGAGAAGAGACATTTCTTCACATCAAATTGGTATACTTGCTAGCTTTTACATGCCAATAGAATTAGAATTTAGTCTAACTTATCTCTACACAACCGAATTATAGGGTGAAGGGTGATACTTTATATGAATTTTCTGTAGACTTTATATATTTGTCAATCTTTCCTTTATCATTATCATTGCACTTGGTCTTATATAAATGAAAGCAAATATGAAAATCACAAGTCAAAACTAAAAAACTTCATCTTATCTATATTGGAAATGATCAGAAATACTCATTGCTCAACATGAAATCACAAAAAATGTACAAAAACAATGAAACCAAACAAGATACCCCAAAAGGAGTAATAAATGCAAAGAAGCTACCCCTGGTGATACTATTAAGTTGCTCAATAAAGTTATGATGAAACTAGTAGTTATGTCTGTCCCCAAGTAGACCAATTAGCCTCACTTCCAACACGTGGCATCATCTGATTCCTTGACTGAGAATCAACATTGAAGTTGGCTCCACACATAACACCCTCACTGTCAATCCTAGGCATTGCTTTCATCTTCTTTGTTGGATGTTCAAAGTTCAACAGACCATGCTCACTATGAAACAAACACCCTGAAATTTTCAACACCATTTAGTAATTTTTCACAATATAATTCATAGTAAGTGTACAAAATCTTAATTTTTCACAATACCATTTGGAAAAGGTGCAAATGATTTAGCACAACCAGACTTAACAAGCTCCACATTTTCAGAAATAACCACTGACCCATCAGCTGCAATACCCCAATACAGTCCAATTTGGCCATCAGAGCCCTAATAAAAAAACAAAACAAAATATGAACAATTGTTAGTGAATAAGTCCAAAAAAAAAAAGTGATTCTTTACCAAAAAAAAGTGACTCACAGATGCAGCAAAAACTGTTTCATTTTTATGGTCATAGATCACAAATCCAAAACTTCCTTCAAATTGTTTAAGAACTTGATCAGCTGGGTATGGACCCCGGTCGCGAAGTGTCCGGTAGGCCTCGATGATGAAGATGGCCTCATTGCTTCCCTTTGATAGTCCATATTGCTTGTTCAATTGACTAAGGTTGTGTAGATTTCCCATGAAAGCACAATATATGTTGTCCAAACCACTAAACAACCTATGTGACACATGAAACATTTTGTTGTATTAGCAATCTATGAAATCATATATGATTCAGACACGACACTGACACGTCAACATAGATACTATGATACCTTTGATAAATGGAGGGTGTGTTTGAAGGGGAATAGGCTAATAAAGCATCATTTCCAAAAGTCATGTAGAAAGCATTGGAGGAATTGCATGAGATGAAATCTCTAAGAATTTCGTGACTTGGTTTAGCTTTCTTAGGGTTTGAATTCTGAGAAGCTGGACTATTAAGCTCTTTTGGTGCATTCACCAACTTTTCCTTGAAAATTCCCAACATCTTTTCCTCTGTTTAAAGTGACAATTAGCTGCATAAAAGAACATCTCAGGGATTTTGAACAATGAATGAAAAAAGATGCTAACTATGAAAATTAATGAAATGAAAATAGAGAAGCATACCAAGAAATAATGAGATCAGATTTGGTGAGATAGATTGAAAATGGATAATGGATGAGAATAATGAGGGATTGATGTAAGATATATATAGGAAGGGGATGTGTTAGAGTTTTGTTTCTTTTTGACTTGAAAATGTGAGAGAGGTGACGTGGAGGTTCTATCCAATCCAAACAATAAATTTAGATAAATATGAAAAATATTAGTCATTTTATTTTTAATGTACTCCTATTTGCAGGTCAGATTCAGAGTTGATACTTTATTTTTGAGTAACTTTTATATAAATATTTTCTAATATGATTGATCTTTATAAATACTTTTTAAAATATTCAACAACTTTTAAGAAAAACACCACTTTATTATGCATATTAATTAGAAAAAAGAGATGGTGCATTAATCAATGACAATTATGTACTCGTTAAATGAAATTAAAAATTTTAAATTATTTATATAATTTAATATTTTAAAATATTTTAATTAAATATTTTGGTAATACTTTTTTATGATGACAATGTACTACTATTATATTTATTAATTAATATATAATAAAAATATTATATTAAAAAAAATTATAAATATTTTTTCATATAAATGACATTAATCTAAATCATCTATTTTAAATTCAAAAAGATGTTTTTTTTTTAATTGTGTCATCTACTAATACTAATTACATTATTTTTAAATCAATTTATTCCATACATATTTATTTTAATTATAAATCTATCAACATTTAATTAAATTAATTGAGTAAAATTATTATTCTGTGATGGAAGAGAAGGTGTTAGTTGGATTGGAATTGTGAATAAATCTTATCCATATTGATGTGACAATCATGTGACTCAGCAACTGACAAAACCACGTTACATCATCCACAGATGGTTGAAGTTAAATTCGTGTCTGAATCTCACCAGCCACAATAATTTAATAGTATTTTATATTCAATAGACCCTGCCCTAAATAAGACAGATTCTTGCAAGAATTCTACTCTTCTAATCTGTGTTTGATTCTACCATGTAAAAGTTAGAAAATTAACTTTGAATAAATTTATTGTGTAATATTAAAACTAATTTCAGTTAAAGTGATTTAAAGATAGAGTGATTTATATTTACATAACTTTATGTAAAATAAAATTAAACAATAAGTTTCAATATTAAAACTACGTTTAAACTTAAAAATTATAACTGACTTAAGTAAAACCAATTCTACTTTAAAAAATCAAACGCTCTAAATTTGCTTTTGCATGTTTCAAAAGTTAAAACCAAACACACTAGTTAAAAGTAAATAAGTTGTAGGTAAAGAGATTTGTATTTAAACAAATTCTTGCAAAAGTGGTATAAATAGTAAATTTCAATATAAAAATATGTTTATACTCAAAAGCTATAAATTTTAATTTTAAATAGAATCAATTATGAAAAGGAGAGTAAAATTCTAATCGAGAGCAACCAAACATGAGAGCAACCAAACATGTCAAAATCAATTCTCCACATCGAAAATGAATTCAATTCTAAGAATCAAAAGGGCTCCAATAGTTAAACCAAACTTGCCCAAAGGGGTGATTTTTTTTTTCAAACCAACACATACTACACACCAATCGCTTGCGCCAAATTTTGAAGAATTTAAAGGCTGATTATTATAATTGTATGAATACAAGTTATTTTACTGTGAATGCATCTACACATCAATGACAATAGCATCAGTATGTGATTGACTAAGTACATTATATATCTAATAAACCTGAACCAAAACTAAATGTAAAAATTTGAGTGACGAAAAGTTGCTATAAACACTACAGACAGATAATCATCCCAAGAAGTTGTTATAAATCATACTCCATACTATGATAATTTTCTTCCGGATAGTAAACAGCAGTCACAATATTACCCCCAAATTTCCTGCCATTTAGAGCATTTTTTGCAGCTAAAGAAGCAGTACAGTCAGCGTATTCCAAGAAAACCTACAAGAGAAAACAAAACCACGTTCAAACAACTTAGTTCGGATCAAGAGTAACCTCAAACTCAATTTGTTAGAGAAGACAGTGTAAGACCACAAAGCTCAAGCCACTAAAAGTTTCAAATCACTAAGTCTTGAGGTGAATGAAATTTGTAGCTCATGCCTGACATGTTAGCCAACAAATCGCGAACTCAAATGCATCACAAAGGAACTGCATACCTTTCCAATACCTGCAGACAGCTCTCCGTTTGGATTTGGACGAGGAATAACAACATTCATCAAGGTCCCTATACATTCAAATAAGGTAGAAGAAAGCATATTAATCAGAAACACATGAACAAAGGCGTTAGAGGGAATTCCAGAACATTTATTAGCTGATTATTTCCTTATTGATCTTGCAGTAAAATAGACGATAAAAATAAAGTCAGCATATGAGAACACTTCCTACAACACCTACAACTTTTTTAATACTCTATTTCCCTTTGGGGAATGGTTCATCAAGATACTCTGAAAGACAAGCTTCTCCAACAGTTTTGTCTTACAACCATTATACTGAATTGATATCAGTCTCATTCTACAGGTCCCAATAGAGAATTAACTACATAACTGAAATACTGAACTAGTACGAATACTTGTCTGCACCAAGCTAAAAAATTTGACAGAGATTAGTTGAACAATCTAACTTTTCCAAAAACTGGGATGACTTTAATTACATCTAGTTAATAGATCCAACCCACCCACTAAACCAAAGAAAATGTAATATAATGACTTCATATGCAAAGCTTTAAGCAGAAAATGGCAGTAATAGGACACATATTACACAACATGCATACCAAATTTGCAGCATTCATCCCGCATGTCTTCCAATATCTCTTCATATTCTCCATTATCATTTAATTGTTCAGTAGTGACGGCCTTTAAAGAAAATCAGGTAGCACGGGTGAGGTGAAAACCCAATAAGGGTTAATCAAATCAAATTGTTAACCATAGTAAATTATGACAACATGAAAAAAAGAGGGGGGAGGGGATAAATGAAAAAATAAAAAGGCAAATCAATCTGTCAAAACTCTACAAGGAGTAATTTGGTTGACAAAATTTTGCTTGTAATAGAAACTAGAATCACCTGAGTTAAACAAACAACTTTACTGGGGCTTTCTTCGTTTGTTGGGCCTCTTTCGACTCCTGGAATATTTAGCCCAACCACTTCCAAAGCTATTTTCTGTTAGTTGAGGGATGTAAATAATCGAGTAATAATAAATGGCAAACAAGTAGAAAAACAGAAGGTAAAAGTTTGTGCCTCACCTGCATAGCTATATGCTGCTGTGCCCGTGCAAAGATGTTATCCTCTTCTGGTTTAGAATGTCCACTGCCCGACAAGTAGATTACAATGAATTTTATTAGTCAATGGGAAGGGGAAAAAACAATTTAGTCACCTAGATAATAAAATTTTATTCATGAGTATTGCTCCATGCTTGTTATATTATCAATGATAAACACAAACAGCAGGAAATAATTGAGGGAATACCATGAAATACCAAAAGCACACAAGATTAACAGATGTTAAAACAAACATGAAGAAGCTCAACGGTATCATAGAATGGTCTATTCCATGTCTGGTGTATCAAAGGGAATTAGGTATTAGAGTTATAAGGGCAATTCTGTAATATTCTGTAAAAGGGAATTAGACTAGTGTCTAATTCCATTTCTATCCTTATCCTTTCTACATAAATGATTGCTGTAACTGAATCAAGATTGAATAACAAATTCTGTTTGCATTTTCCCTCTCATTTTCTCTCTCTCTCTCTTCTCTTTCTTTCACTCTTTGCTTCTCTGTTTCTATCATGGTATCCAGAGCTTATCTCTGATCCTCGGCGCACATGGCTTCTCCGTCGCCGTCTTCCACCGCAAGCAGTGACAGCTCCGTCGCTGCTAACTCCACCTTCAAACAAAAAATCTCAGTCAAGCTTGATGAGAACAACTATCGACAGTGGAAACAACAAGTTGAAGGAGTTCTTCGTGGCACGAAAATGGTGCGGTTTGTCGTATCACCTCAGATACCGGAACGGTACCTCACTATTGCCGATCGTGACACCGGAAGTGAGAACCCTAACTTTGTCGCGTGGGAAGAACAGGATGCGCTGTTGTGCACGTGGTTGTTATCCATGATTTCAGATTCGCTCCTCTCTCGTTTCATTCTCCTTCGTCACTCGTGGAAGTCTGGGAAGAAATTCATGCGTTCTGCCATACGCAAATGAAGACTCGGTCTAGCCAACTCAGATCGGAGCTTCGCTCCCTCTCGAAAGGTACTAGAACCATTTCTGATTTTCTTGCTCGCGTTCGCACTATCGTCGATACTTTAATGTCAATTGGTGATCCAGTCCTTCATCGTGACCAAATTGAACTGATTCTTGAGGCGTTACCATCGGAATTTGACTCGGTTGTTGCTGCTGTTAACTCTAAGACTGATTTCATTTCAATTGATGAATTGGAATCGCTTCTCCTCACTCAAGAAGCTAGAGTTGAGAAATCCAAGAAAGAAGTTGTTGAGACTGTCTCTGTGAACCTTACTCAAGGTAATGTGCCAAGTTCCAATCTCAGTCCCCAAAATTCTGATATCCCTGACTCCAGTGGTGGAAACTTCCAAAGCTTTGGTCGTGGTAGCTATTCTCGTGGCAGAAACAATAGAGGAGGAAGGTTCAGAGGAAGTGGTGGCCGCAACGGCTATAGAAACTCTGTGCAATGTCAGATATGCTATAAACCTGGTCATGATGCTAGCTATTGCTACTACAGACACTCTCAAGACTCTTATGGTGTTTATCCTCCTTATGGTGCTCCTGCCTCCTTTGGAAATTTTGGCTTCAGTCAACCAAATGTGTGGACTCAACCTGGATTTAGGGCTCCAAGTCCTTCAACTGTGAATCAAGCTAGATCTGTGGCGCCTGTAATGGCATCTCAGTACTCTGGTGCAAGGCCTCAGGCACTGATTGCTGGCACTGACTATTCTCCGTTCTACAACCAGGCGTGGTATCCTGACTCCGGAGCTTCACATCATGTGACTCCAGATGCCAAAAATCTTACTGATACTGTATCTCTGCCTGGTAATGATCAGGTTCACATTGGCAATGGCCAAGGTCTGTCCATAACTTCTCTTGGCTCTATGATTTTTCCTTCAAATTTATGCCCTAACACTTCTTTAAAACTGAATAATCTTCTTCTTGTTCCATCCATTACTAAAAATCTGCTGAGTGTGAGTCAATTTGCCAAAGATAATGCTGTATTCTTTGAGTTCCATGCTAATGCATGTTTTGTAAAATGTCAGGGTACTTCTAAAGTGCTTTTGAGTGGTTCCCTTGGGAGTGATGGTCTTTATAAGTTCGACTGCACTCCTCCTCCTACTTCCTCTCAAGTCCTCAGTGCTGTTTGCAAGTCATCTGGCCTTCAACATCCTTCTTTGGAATCTAGCTTTGTGTTCAATCCCAGTTGTAATAATAAAAACTTAGATTTTGTTACCAGTCTGTACAAACTGTGGCACCACAAGTTGGGTCACCCTCATCATGAGGTTCTTAAACAAGTTCTCAAACTATGTAATATTTCAATTCCTAATAAACAGTTTTCTGATTTCTGTAATGCCTGCTGTTTGGGTAAGGTACATAGGTTACCATCTACCTCATCTAAAACTGTTTACTCCAAACCCCTTGAACTTGTGTTTTGTGACTTGTGGGGGCCCTTACCAGTTCCCTCCATCTCTGACTATTCATATTTTCTCACCTGTGTTGATGCTTACAGCCGTTATACCTGGATTTATCCTCTAAAATTAAAATCTGCCACACTTGCCACTTTTATTCAGTTTAAAGCTCTTGTTGAACTACAACTTAATCTCAAAATCAAGTTTGTGCAAACAGATGGTGGAGGTGAATTCAAACCTTTGACACATTTTCTAACCATGCATGGCATAACACAGAGTTACATGCCCACATACTCATCACCAAAATGGCTCTGTGGAACGTAAACACAGACATGTTGTGGAGACAGGTCTCACTCTTCTTGCTCAGGCTAACCTACCCTTAAAATTCTGGGATCATGCTTTCCTCACTGCTACCTATCTCATAAACAGGCTTCCATCTCCTTCCCTGCACAATAAATCACCCTTTTTCTTGCTGTATTTTCAATTTCCTGACTACAAGTTCTTAAAGGCCTTTGGCTGCTCCTGTTTTCCTCATCTCAGACCTTATAATTCTCACAAACTTGCTATGCATTCTAAGGAGTGCTTATTCCTTGGCTATTCTCCATCCCACAAAGGCTATAAATGTCTTGATCCTACTGGCAGAATATTTGTGTCTAAGGATGTAATATTCAACGAGCACAGGTTCCCCTATACTTCCCTATTTCCTGACTCATCATCTAAATCTGTTTCAAAACCCTCCCCTACTCCCTTTTCTGGACCTCCATCTGGACATCCTATTCCCCTTACATCTGTTGGTCCTCACTCATACTTTCAGTCACCTACTAATTCCCCTGGTTCTTCTTGCAGGCAACCTTCTTTCAGCAGCATTAATCCTGACCTTGGTTTACCTGTTTCTCCCTCCCAGTCTGCTTCTACTTCTCAACATTTTGTTCATCCTGATACATCTTCTGCTGACTCTTCAGCTGTGTCTCCTCAAGTTGATATTCAGTCCTCCTCAGTGGGCATTAGTAACAGCACAACCTCTTCTCCATTCACTGAACACTCCTCCCTTGCTCCATATGTTCATCCTCTTAACACTCATCCCATGGTCACTAGAGCTAAGGATGGTATTGTTCAACCTAGGCTGCACCCCACTCTCCTTCTCACTCAATTGGAACCAACCTCACATAAACAAGCTTTATCCATTCCTGAGTGGCACACTGCTATGAAAGTTGAGTATGAAGCATTAATTAGGAACCACACTTGGTCTTTGGTGCCTGCTCCTGATCACAGAAAACCTATTGGCTGCAAGTGGGTTTTTAGGGTCAAAGAAAATGCAGATGGGACAATTAACAAATATAAAGCAAGATTGGTTGCTAAGGGTTTCCATCAGGTTGAAGGTTTTGACTACACTGAAACTTTTTCACCAGTTGTGAAACCCATTACAGTGAGGACTGTTTTAACACTTGCCATATCTAAAGGTTGGATCATACAACAAATTGATGTCAATAATGTTTTTCTAAATGGAGTGCTTAATGAAGAGGTTTATATGGTTCAACCACCAGGTTTTGAAAAGGGTGAGCCTGGTCTTGTCTGCAAGCTACACAAAGCCCTATATGGACTTAAACAGGCTCCTAGGGCCTGGTTTGATAAGCTCAAAGGTTCTCTTCTCCAACTGGGTTTCACTGCCAGCAGGTGTGATCCCTCCTTGTTCATGATGCTCACACCATCGTGCTACACCTTAGTGTTGGTGTATGTTGATGACATTATCATCACTGGCTCTTCTTCTTCTTTCATCAAGCAGTTGGTCACTAAACTCAATCTGGCCTTTTCTCTCAAAGACTTGGGCAAACTAGATTATTTTTTGGGCATAGAGGTAACTCATCTTCCCAATGGTTCTCTTCTGCTTTCTCAAAGCAAGTATGTCAGGGATCTGCTTCATAGAGCCAACATGGCTACTGCTAAAGGAATTGCTTCCCCTATGGCCTCAAGCACCAAACTATCCAAAGTAGGCTCTGCTCAAGTTACTGATTCCACCTACTTCAGGTCTATAGTGGGAGCCCTACAGTATGCTATTGTAACAAGACCTGAGATCTCTTTTGCAGTCAACAAAGTTTGTCAATTTCTCTCAAACCCTCTTGAGGATCATTGGAAAGTTGTTAAGCGCATTCTCCGGTATCTCCAAGGGACAGTTTCTCATGGTCTTCTTCTCTCACCTGCTAACCTCACTTTGCCTCTCACTATCACAGGCCTTTGTGATGCAGATTGGGCCTCTGATCCTGACGATAGAAGGTCTACTTCTGGGGCCCGCATCTTCCTAGGTCCTAATCTTGTTACTTGGTGGGCAAAGAAGCAGACACTTGTTTCCAGATCAAGTGCTGAGGCAGAATACAGAAGTCTGGCCTTAGCTACAGCAGAGATTCTCTGGCTTCAGTCTCTTCTGCAAGAACTTCACATCACCCATCAGACTCCCAAGATACTATGTGACAATCTCAGTGCAGTATCTCTAGCTCACAACCCTGTTTTGCACTCAAGGACCAAGCACATGGAACTTGACATTTTCTTTGTCCGGGAGAAAGTGATTGGCAAGAACCTCATTGTTTCCCACATTCCTGCAGTAGATCAGTGGGCTGATGTGTTAACCAAGCCTCTCTCCACCAACAGATTCTTGTTTCTTAAATCAAAGCTTAGAGTCGTTGACAAGCTCAAACTTGATCAACCACCCTAAGTTTGAGAGGGGAGTATTAGAGTTATAAGGGCAATTCTGTAATATTCTGTAAAAGGGAATTAGACTAGTGTCTAATTCCATTTCTATCCTTATCCTTTCTATATAAAGGATTGTTGTAACTGAATCAAGATTGAATAACAAATTCTGTTTGCATTTTCCCTCTCATTTTCTCTCTCTCTCTTCTCTTTCTTTCACTCTTTGCTTCTCTGTTTCTATCATTAGGATCAATTAGCAACAAAGGGATCCAGGGGTTTAGAGGTAAACTAAAATTTAATGCAATCAGAGTTTTCTAGTAAATTACAATTTCTTATTCAGAATAAATCCAATTGAGGTATCTTAACGTAGTAATATTGAAACTACTGGAGGTTTGAAAACTTAAAGGAATATCATAGTCTCAAACTCTCAGTAAAAAGATGGACTCCTCAGTAGAAAGGCTAACCTGACAGTAGCACGCCTCACAGTCAATGTTTTATCTCCCATTTTAAGGCCATTAAGAGAGGCACAAGCAATGTCTGTTACTGCTGGATCCTAAAAAGATTACCCAGAAAATCAATTTGTATAAAAAAAAATAGAGACACTTTATATCCTGTTTGGAAATTACCAAATGCTCAAAAAACTTTTCTAGGTAATTACTCAAAAAAGAAACATTTGAAAAGTGAATTATCATTAAGATCTATATGTTCTACAATGCAACATTGTTCACCTGATAGATGCAGAAACCATATCCTTTAGAGTTTCCCGTTTCTTTATCTCTAACTATATCAAAATTTCGGAGAGGACTGCATTGGGTCAAATGATATCACAACATAAATGTGTTGGGTTTACGCTTGTTAAGTAAATCAATAGGCATGGTTGGAAAATCATATAAAATACCAGAATACAGAAAAGAGTACACATGTAAATAAACATTATTCATGACAATCATACCCAAAAGCCTGAAGCAACTCTCTCATTTGAGCTTCAGTAAAGTAGTATGGCAGCCCACCCACAAAGATGCGATCAAGTCCCTCGGCTCCACCTATTGTACTGGGAAGTGGGAATATTCCATATAGGTTAGAACATGAGGTATATGATATAAATTGGTATACTACAACATTATGTAAAGTTCATGTAAAACATGCACATTGCCATCAAAGTACATGGTCAACTTACCCTGCAGAAAGTCCAACAGCAGATAAGTTGAGGTTTGCACTTGGCTGGCAAGGACCTAGAACTGCAGCTAACGAAGGGTTATAGTCAGTTGGCCTACGGACTCTCACAGAAACACCCTGAGATTAGATATCACAAGAAAAACATCAGTGGTTAGTGTTCTAAAACATATTGGACATGCAAGCTCTGGCCTATTGAATGTTTTGACTGATGTTATGTGAAACAAGGTGATGCATGAACCAAGTAATATGCAGAAAGCAATCTTTCTAGCTGATTGCATTGAAGTCAAATTGTATGGAAGAAAAATGAGGTTAAAATTGACCAGATTCGCAGAGACAATTACCCCCTATGTATAATTAACACAATGGTGATTTAGGTGCAGTTGCCGATCACACCAAAATATTTGGAATAGGGAAGAAAATCAATGGTTTGTAGTTCAGATAGGTATTCAAATCAGAGACAGCATTGAGAATACCTATGTAGTCAGTAGCACATAGAGCAGCATAGCAGCCGATCCCCAAAACACAATAGCTACGTTGAAGTCGAGCAAACATTTTATATGATACACAAAATAAAAAATAAAAAGGTGTTGATTGTGGTGGTTGAGACTAAGATGATGACGTATACTGTTGGTGCAGAAATTGAAAAATAAGGCAAGAGAAGAAATTGGTGCAGAAACCAGGGAATGGGAAAAGAATGTGACAGGAGAGAAGAAGGGAAAGAGCACGGCGAAGACGGAAAAGGGAGAAGAGCCAGTTGCAAGTGGAAGTTCCTCTCACAAGAAAAACAGAGCGCAGAAGAGTATGGAAGAACAAAAGTAGGCAGTAAATACTTGAACAAATTATCCAGTGAAAAAGTAATAAAAAAACATCAAAATAATTCGAAACAGTTAAAAATTAGGGCAGTTTCGACATTATGCATCAAAAACATTTGTGGCGGCTTCATCTCGTGATTCCTGTAATTATGCCACCATGGACAGCACTACGGTCACGATCCTAAAACGCAACATGGTGCCAGAATGCGCAGCACATGGCAGCCACAGCACGCAGTCGCTATTGCGGCCGCTAGACTGCAATTGACTGCAGACAACATATAAAAGTTTTAGTTATGTAATGTAGCCTGATTAATGCTCTCACTACTTTTCAATGTAACATGAGAGCAGCATTAAGCCATATTTGAGGTTGGTTTGGTTTAAAGTGACAAGACCACTGATACATGTGATTGTGAAGATCGTGCTAGATATTTTGATTCAACTATAATTGCTTGCTAAAAAGAAATGTAGTTTTGGTTAAAGAACAATTGCTTACCTTGGTCAAATCATTTCTTTTAAGGGTGTTTATGTAGGCCAAGAGAAAAACAAGTGCTGTACATTGACCTATTCTTATTCGTAAAAAAAAACAGTGAAGGAAGTTTGTGGATTTATTGCACCGGTCTATCAGTTTTTTTAGTAACATATATGTCCCATTAATTTTAATGTCATAACCTTGAGAAGGACAAATGCTTCCAGAATCCCAAGCCTTCAGTTATGACTTTTAATGAAAATTCAGAAGATGGACTGTACAACAGTTGACATATTCAATTCCTTCTATTGTTGATCTCAATTTAATATCAAAACTTACGATGCATTAACAATAATATAAATATGCTTGCCTCAAATACTATTCCATCTAAAGCCATTGCATTGCTAGCTTCTTCAACGGTTCTCATCTCCACAAACGCGAATTTCTTCTCGTGGTTAATGTAGACATTGACAACCGAATCACCTACATAAATAAGCAAATCTTGAATAAACTAATCAACTAAGCCATCTTGGAAATAAATAAGCAAATAACATATGTACTTTATATTAATAAATTATAGTCTAAGACTCAAGACACTATCATTGTGCAATAAATAAATAAATTTAGCACAAATATGGAAAAGCAAACAACTAAACATGAAGTAAAGCTTGCACGACATAAAACAGTTTGATTAAAAACTGGGTAATTCAAAGGTCAAATTACTGAAACAACATTCTTTGATAAGTTGTTTAATTTGAGTATGTCAAGTCTTATACAGATAAAATCAGAAAATAAATTATTGAAAATACTACACTACACCTGATCCGGCAGAATTTCCCCCAATAGCAATCATGACATGGCTAAAGAAAGATGCAATTGCCTGTTACAAAAATAAAAGAAAATCAACAATCCCGAAAAGCAAACGGATACAACTGTTACATTTCGTCAGTTGCAATATAACCAAATTTTACTAATGGAGCAGGCAGCAAAACATACTATGCAATAAGCACAACATTAACTACTGTCAATGTCAAACAACACAACACATTTCCATACCACAAAAAAAGAAGCACGGAAGAACATTAATAGTACAGATGGTACAGAACGGAGACCAAACATTCATATGAATGACTTGGAGCATGAATATAATAACATTTACCTCTGAAAAGGTCTATTCCGGATAGCATTCATTATAGATGAGCAATATAACCCTAATAATATTAATGACTCCAAATTAATTGCAAGCTGCAATTCTTTAGCACTCCCCAAGTTACCATAACCATATATGACTCTTAAATCTTTTTAAAATAATATAGTCTATATTTAATAGCAATTTGCAACATTACTCTAATCAGATAAATGTTTTATATAGAATTGGAATGAACCACTTATAAATAAGAGTTGTTAATCATTTGAAAATATTTAGATCTTATGTGAAAAATAAGAATAATATTATTTTGAATGTGCTTGAGATACAATGCTCTCGGCATAATACTTAATTTATAATCATGTAGTTACAACTTACAATGATAATAATTATGTGCAATTTACAAAAAAATGAATTAAACTAATACAAATTACCAAGATACATAGAACTTAGTATGCAATGAATTAACTAGGAAAATACAGAATTAACTACTTGGAAAATGCAGAATTAAATTATTAGAATTTCTAACACTCTCGATTCCTAGCTTGGACACAATTTTTTCAAAATTTGGGCAGCTCAATCCTTTTGTGAAGACATCCGCAAGTTGACCTTGTGAAGGAACATAACGAGTGCAAATCAAACCGCAATCAAGCTTCTCTTTGATAAAATGTCTATCCACCTCAATGTGTTTTGTTCGATCATGTTGAACTAGATTGTGAGCTATACTAATTGCTGATTTATTATCACAACAGAGCTTCATAGGTCCATCCCATTTAATCTTCAAGTCTTCTAAAATAATCTTCAACCAAAGTAATTCACAAATACCCTGTGCCATAGCTCGAAACTCAGCTTCAGCACTGGGTCGGGCCACAACAGTCTGCTTTTTACTCCTCCAAGTTACGAGGTTTCTTCCAAGAAATGTACAATACCCTGTAGTTGACCTCCGATCAATAGTTAAACCCGCATACTCAACATCAGTATATGCCTCAAGAGTAGCACTTCCATTCCTTTTAAACAAAATCCCTTTTCCTAGAGTTCCCTTAAGATATTATAAAATCCTGCGAGCTGCAAGTAAATGAATTTCCTTTGGATTGTGCATAAATTGACTAACCACACTAACAGCAAATGCAATATCTGGCCTTGTATGAGAAAGGTAAATTAGTCTCCCAACCAATCTTTGATACATTTCCTTATCCACCACTGCACCTTCTTCCACATTACCTAACTTATGGCTTGGATCTATAGGACTTCCCACAGGTTTACAAGCTAGCTTACCTGTTTCCATGAGCAAATCCATGATAGATATACTTTTGTTGAGATATGAAAATACCCTTTTTTGAATGAGCCACCTCTATCTATTTCTAATAAATACTTCAACCTCCCAAGACTTTTCATTTCAAACTCTTTTGCTAAATGTTGAGTTTGTTTCTTCCAATCATTTCCAGTCACAATAATGTCGTCAACATATACCAACAACACTGTAACTCCCCCTGAAGAAGAGTGCTTAATAAACAGTGTATGATCTCCATTACTTTGTTTGTACCCTAAGACTGTCATAGCCTTAGTAAACCTTCCAAACCATGTCCGAGGTGATTGTTTCAATCCATATAATGCTTTTCGCAACTTACAAACTGAAATGACAGCAACATTATTCCCATATCCAGGTGAAATCTCCTTATAAATTTCTTCTTCAAGCTCTCCATGTGAGAATGTATTTTTCACATCAAATTGTTGTAACTCCTACCCATAATTGGCAACAAGAGATAATATAACTCGAACTGTATTCATCTTTACCACAGGGGCAAAGGTTTCTGAATAATCAATGCCATAGGTTTGTGTGAAACCTTTAGCAACTAGTCTTGCTTTGTACCTCTCAATTGTCCCATCAGTCTTGTATTTTACTATGTACACCCACTTGCAACCAACTGGTTTCTTTTCTTCAGGCAAAGCACAACTAACTGCCATGTTTTATTCTTCTCTAATGCCTCCATTTCTATATCCATAACCTGCTTCCAATTTTTATCAGATAATGCCTCGAAAACATTAGTGGGAATTTGGATAGCATTTAAGTTTGCAAGAAAGGTTTTATGGGCTTGAGAATTTTTTTGATATGAAACATAATTTGAAAGTGGATAAAGTGGTCTTTTTGTACATTCTCTAACTCCCTTTATCATGGCAATTGGTAGGTCATCGTTATCTTCAATTGTTGGATTTTGTGTTTCACTTTGTGGGGCTGAAATATCATCTTGTAAAATAAAAAAATCAGAATTTGTTACCTCTATTGAAGGGCTTGGGTCGATTTCTTGGACATTTGTTGATTCAGGATTGGCCTTCAATCTTCTACTATACACCAAATTCTTTCCAAACTTATCATTTCCAACTCTGTTTTCAACCACAGATTCATTCTCAATTCTATTTTCAGTCACTACTTCATTTTCAGATTCGTGTCCAAATCCATCTTTGACCAATGCCTCATTTTCAGATTCATTTGCACCTACTTCTCTTCTTGAATTAAGCTCATGGGAATTTGTTTCAAGATTTGGAAGAATAAGAGTTTCAAGAGTATTATCCTTATCTTCAATAAGACGCCCCCCTTAAAGATAAGGTTGTATGAAGTAGGCATCTCCTTCATGAAATGTCACATCTCGAGACATAAATATTTTTTTTGATGGAGGGTGGTAACATTTATATATCCTTTTTTAGTAGTAGAGTACCCAACAAAGACACGTTTTAGAGCTCTAGGATCAAGTTTTCCCTTACCTTGACGGTGGATATGAACAAATGAGACACACCCGAATATCCGTGGGACAAGATTATTAGTGGTCGAAATGTTCGGATAGAAAGACGAAAGAATATCCATAGGACTCCTTAATTCCAACACTCTAGAGGGTAGTCGGTCAATGAGGTATGTTGCTGTAAGTACAACTTCTCCCTAAAGATACTTTGGAACAACAACGCTCGGGTTTGGTCAAGAAGATGACCATTTTTTCTTTCTGCAATTACATTTTGTTGCGGTGTTTTCACACAACACTCATGAATTATTCCTTCTTTTTCACAAAAAGGAGTAACGACATGATTGAAGAACTCCTTCCCATTATCAGATCTAATTCTCTTGATATTTTGCACCAAATTGATTTTTTATCATTGAGAAAAATATTGGGAGAAAAGTACTTACTTCAGATTTATTCTTGAGAAGGAAAAGCCAAATAACTCGAGTACAATCATCTATGAAAGCAACAAACCATCGATCCCCGGATACACTTGGAATAGTAGATGGACCCCAAACATCGGTATGGACTAAATGAAAAGGAATTGTGCATCTTTTATTATTCAAAGGAAAAGGTACCATTTTATGTTCTGCAATTTCACATACTTCACAACGAAGAGTCTCATTTTTCAGCTCAGAAAACAAAGATGGAAACATACTTTTGATAACTCTAAAAGAGGGATGTCCTAACCGACAATGGAAAAATAAGATTTTTTCTTTGCTTCTGAGAAGTGACTCTAACATTAGTGAGTAAGACGAGAGACTTTTTGTTGTAACAAGCTAATCTTCGAGATAGTAAAGACCATTCCCTTCTCTAGCATGTTCAATCTTCCTCCCCAAATCGGTCTTGAAATATACAATGGGTGCTGTGAAAAATTACACTACAGGATAAATCTTTTGTAAATTTTTGTATAGAGACTAGGTTTGTAGACAATTTTGGAACATAAAGGACATTTTTTAAGAGAATGGAAGGAGTTATTTGGATGTCTCCAATACCATCCATTGTTACTAGAGTATCATCAGCAGTGGAAATTTCTTTATTACTTGGACTAGGGTGATATGTGGAGAAGTAATTAGATGAAGGGGTCATATGGTCGGTGGCTCCTGAATTTAAGATCCATGGAGAAAGAAGGCATATTTGAGACATTAAACTCAAATGAAATCGGAAGCATACCTGAACAAGCCAAAATACAAGTACTTGTTGGTTTCTCCAAGATATTAGGGAAAGTGGACATCAAATAGTTTTTCTCATTTATTTTCTCATTTATTTGATATGCAGGCTGTAGGCTCTCTAATTCTCCAAAGTGATTATTTTGGAATTGAGCATTTCCTCCTCATGCAAATTGTTTTACAATTTCCTCCTCCATTGATAGGAAGTTGAAAGAGAATTGGTAATGCAAGAAAAAGAAAGAAAAAAAAATACAAAGTACTGACAGTGGGGCTGTTGGGCTGTATGAACAGCAACCAGAAAAATTACAACATTGTACTAACGGCTATCGAAAAGTACAAAAAGGGTTTAGTTGTAAGATTTGACAGCAAATAATAGTGCCCAGTCAAGATTTGAGATTTTTGACAGCAGAAAATGCCCAGTAAAAATTTCTCAATATTTGTTGCGGAAGCGAAAGTAGAGTCTCCTAGATCAGGAGCTCTGGTACCATGTGAAAAATAAGAATAATATTGTTTTAAATGTGCTTGAGATTCAGTGCTCTCAGCATAATACTTAATTTATAATCATATAGTTACAGCTTACAATGATAATAATTATGTGCAATTTACAAAAAAAAGGAATTAAACTAATACAAATTACCAAGATACATAGAACTTAGTATGCAATGAACTATGCAGAATTAACTACTTGGAAAATGCAGAATTAAACTATTAGAATTTCCAACATCTTATATGGTGACATGTTCATAAAGAGAACCTGCTCGTTAGCAAAAGGAGGGAGCCCACCAACGTACACTCGTCGAGCGTGCCTTGTAGCCTGTTAGAACAAATAAATAGAAACTGTCATACTGGTTGTCAATATCACGATCTAGATCTTAAAATCTTAAGATTTTACGATCTCATTCACCCTCAACGATCCAGATCTTAAGTAGAATCACGTGTTGTAGCTAAATTGCGGAAAAAACCCCGTAAAATAATTGATTTTGTGCGAACTTTACCAGCTCCGGCCATGATTGGCCATTTTCCTACCACCACCATTAAAATGTGAGAAGGATGACAAGATGCGGAGACACAACAATTACGGTTCGACGGAGATGAATGTGCGCCTTATGAAATGAAGTTTTAGATTTAGGGTGAAGGGTTTGTTTTAACTACTTGATCTATAATAATCCTAGTAATTGACCAAATATGTCCCTAATGTCTAAACATTAACAAATGTGCAATAAAACCTCAATCATAAATGTCTAAAGAATATGAAAAAGGGTCATTTTCTCACTAATACACTTGTCTACGAACATATATCATGTAAAAATACTTCAAATATATACTATTATTTTTTTCATTTTAGTAGGATATTACGATTTGTGTTGCGATCATATGTTTTAAGATCTTGTTATCCCCTCTCGATCTTACAGAAATAATTGAGTAGGATCTTCCGATCTTAACTACGATTTTATATTTTACGATCTTGTTATTCTCTCCCGATTATAGATAAGATCTCGATCTTGACAACCTTCGTACAGACACATAAGCCTACAAGTGCATAAATTGACAAATGCGCCAGGAATCACACAGACCTGCTGTGTCATAGGTTGAACTTGCATTAAAGAAAGAGCTCCAATCTGTGACAAATGAAATCATCTAGTGTGCTCGTAGAATTAAAAAAGCTGGAAAATCTGGTGCCACAAAAACTAGCACCTGTGATATCCCATATGGTGAGAAATTTTGTGTAGCTCCTTGAATTGTATGAGCAATCCCCGGCATTTGCCCTGCATTATTAACTTTTAATAAAACAATAATACAATAAATAAATTGTAGAGAAAAACAATGCATGAATTCAATGTTTTTCACTAGATCAATCAAATAAAGGACCTATAACTAACAAGCATTCATTTCACGACAAATTAAGCCAAAATGAAAGAAAATGTATCATACCTAATATAAAGTACGATTGAATTGAATATATAAAAATTTAGAAATGAGTTCAACCACTGCAGATGCTGGGGAAATAAGTGTCTACCAATAGGCAACTTTTGCCAGTTGAGAGTGAAAGGTCCAGCAATAGAATGTACAAGCCAGCCATTGAATATGCTACAGGGTGTACGCTGATAGGTAGGTTGGTAGGACATGCAGCCAAACATTGCCTTCTTACCCAACCATAAAAATAAGCCAGACACAAAACCACACACAACAGCAAAACAACACAAGAATGATTCTTAGTTTCGAAATTAAATTTATCACCTTAATTAAATATGTAAGAAAATATCAGCAAAAACACTTAAACTATGGTAACACATAATACAGACTGAATATGAGGGGTGAAAACTGAAGCTTGCACATGAAATTAAATAAGGAATCCATACACGTACTGCACTAAATTAAGTGGTCGAGTAAAAACCTGAAACAGCGGGTGTTACACCAGTAGCAGGTGGTGCCATGTCAAAACCAGAGGTCCTTTTTCTGTACACAAATGGGAGCTCAAGGGTCAAATTAAAATAAAATAATATTGTAGTTACACAGCTACAGAACTTAAGTTTAAAAAAATGTAACATGCAAAATAAGCTTTGCCCTATTTCAGTTTTTTTTTTCCAGAGAGAAATCTGGAAAAGAGTGAAAACAAAACTTTGTCGTTATAAGTTGTTTTCAATATAAATACCTGTCTCGCCTTCTAACAGATAAAAGTACATACGAGTTTACTAGTTAACAAGCCTAAGGGAAAGTTTGGGAGATAGGTTTGGGGGGCTAAGTCTATATTTTTTATATATAATATATTTGAGATGTTGGGAAAAAATATGAAAGAATAACATGATAAATGCCAATATAATAGTTCAATCCCACTTAATTTATTTTTAGAAACATTTTATAGCTTCCTTAATTTAAAAAAGAAAGATAAACCCTCCCCTCCAAAACCTTTCATTTAAATATACCCTTTAGTCTACCCTATATTTTAGTTATGCTACAATTTTGTTGGAAAGTGAAGCTAGATCAATAGGCTTGAAAATAAAACAAATATTGGTAATCTGGTAATCATCAAAGAGCAGGGAGATAGTAAATATCCCACAAAAACAATGGACAAACTGAAAATAGAAGTCCATGTACCCTTCTGATTGAGAAGGGGATCTGGACCGTGATCTAGATCTCGATTCCCTCCTGGATCTCTTTGAATGTGCCCCATATCTGTGTCTTGTATCTCTATCACGATCATAGTCATTATGCCTACAAAAAAAATATATCTAATATCTATCCAATGTATGAAATGATACACAATACATAGAAAAAGTGGCTAATCTATGCATTGCTTTAGAAAATCTAATCTGAAAAGAGAAAAGAATGACGAATAGTCCAGTCCAACCTATCATAATCACGTCCACGTTGACGATTATAACTGTCATATCTGCCTCTTCCTCTAAAACCCTCGTATTTATCATCTCTATGACGGTCACGGTTGTCATGAAAATTTTTACTGCCTCCATCTCTCCTTCTCATCCTCGTGCTCTCATGACCAGATCCCCGGGAACTTGGCTGAGATATTTAAAAACATTCAGCCAACTCATCTGACTCTCACATATCAAGAGGTTAAGCATGACAAATAATCAGAGTATAAAAGCGATATACAGCGCCCAATGCCCATTTAATATCATGTAACAGCCACAAAATTGAAGGAAAACCAATGCGAACAAGTCATCTAAACAACTAAACCAGCAATACCCTTATGTCCCGGTTTGGATAAACAACTTAATCGGCAACTTATAGCATAAGCACTATTCATATAAGCTATAGTAAGAATAGCTATTTCTATTACACGAGATAAAATAATGTCAAATTGTGTTTGTATAAGTGTATGTTCGTTTAGCTTTTGGAAGAGTTAAAACAATTCTAGAGGCATAAAATTGATTTTGGAATAATTTTGAAGTGTTTGGTTCTTCTAAAGTAGAATTCGTTCTGCCTCCATAATTGATTCTACTTGAAGCTAGAATTTGTAGCTTTTGAGCTTAAACGTGATTTTTTCATTGAAATTTTCTGTACAATTCAATTTTGCATAAAATTATCCAAACATAAATCGGTTTACATTCAACTCACTTTTAACCATAATCAATTTTACATCACTCAAAATCAATTTTCTTCAATACAAAACCAAACATACACTAATTGGCAGCTTATAGCATAAGCACTAATCATAAAAGCTAGTACAAACAACTATTTCTATTACACAAGATAAACTAATAAAATAAAGCCAGATTGTTTTTGTATAAGTCAATCCAAACAGATTTGAGGTCTGTTTGAATAAACAGCTTATTTGGAGCTTATAGCACAAGCACTTATCAAAATAAGCACTTACGGAAAAGCTTGCATAAACTATTTTTCTAACAAAAGATAAAATAAATTTAAATTATTTTTATATGTGCTATAAATTGTTTTCGTAAGTTATTTTTGAGAACTTATAGAATTAAGTTCAAAAAAGTTTATGAATAATGCTATAAGCTGTTTTAATAAGCTCTTCCAAACAGTGTCTCAAAACTTATGGCATAAAATAAGCTCAGATAAGTCGATCCAAACAGACCCTTGATGTCATAAACTCTGCATTTTACACCAAATGTGTTCTAGATTAATCAATGAATGAAATGAAACTAAAAAATAAAATAAAATAAACTAGCAACCTAGAGATTCATCCATAAACTTAAAAGGACTTAAATAATCGGAAAACAACAAAAAAGATCACATTGCAAACGCACTTTTAAGAAAAGCTGAAAACCTAATCAAGCTAACTGAAGCAAAACAATGACCTAAAACTAAAAGGGATCTTTATGTGAGTTTCAAATTAAGCTATTTGGCGAAATAAAAATTGGGGAAAAGGGGAAAACGAAGCACCTTGTCGGGGGAAGAAGCGCCGTGATAGGCGTGATTTTCGGTGTCAGACATTGCAAGCAAAGCAAGGAAGGTGATGATATGCTATTGCTGAGAAATTTGGAACCCTAAAAAATTCGTTTGTTTGGTTTGTGTAAAAATGAGCAGGGTGTGACTCAAGCGTTAATCATCATCAATTATAGTAACCAACCATTTCTGAATCCAAAACATGTGAAATTAATGGAATAATTTATTACTATATCCATAATGTTATAATAATTTAATATTAAATTTTAAATAATAATATTCATTATTATAGATGCGTAAAATGTCAAACTTAAAATAATAATAAAAATATTAATTATTTCGTCTAATATTTCTTATTTTACAAATCAAACACACATATATTTTGTTGTTTATCAAAATATGATTTAATCTTTTGAAGTATTATTATATTTTTTTTATATTTCAGTTGGATGAACAAATATGATGTGAAATGTTTCCTATTATTATTTTTAATAATTTTTTTAAATGAAAAATAACTTTTTATAAATTTTAAAAAAAAAAAATTAAGTATATATCGAACAAACTCAAAAAAAAATAATAACTCAGACATGTAAAGGGTCAGATTTGGTTGATAGATTTTGATCTATTTATAAATTAGACTTTTAACTCGACTCGAATAAAATTTGAACTCACTATAGACAAGTCCGTCACAGGTCAGAAAGCTCATTTGTCAATTCTAGTTAGAAGCACTATGTTACTAAATCCTAAAGGAGCAATATTTGTGAACTAGAGTATTTTATGTGTTTTTGATGAAATTTACTATGTTCTTTCTTTTTTCCTTATTTTTTATTTTATTGTTTTTTATCTTTTTGTTAATATTTTTTTCTTCTACTTCTTTTTTTAAAATCAATTTAAAATATGTTTTAATTTGTTTAATTTTTCATAAAAAATTATATCACAATCCACGTCTTCGTGTGTTTGAAAATATCTGGTTAACATATAAAATTGAAAAGGTAAATTAAATGATACATTATGGTATTACATATCACAAAATATATGTGAATGCATTAATACTTAAGCATGTTGACTAATGCCATATTGAGGCAAACAACAATATTTAACATGTGGAATTATCATCATGATTTGTTTGGGAGCCTTGAGAAGCTTGAGACCAAATTTTGTGATTGAAACATTTGTAAAATGATGATTTTATAACTTCCTCCTTGTTGTTAGTTCATTAGTTGTAAATAAATAGAAAGAAAATATAAGGATACTTCAAAAATAAAAAAATTTGATTCGAAAATATCTGAACTATAATGTTAGTTCATCCTAGTTGATTGATGTAACACTTTGTAACATATTATATATATATATATATATATATATATATATATATATATATATATATATATATATATATATATATATATATATATATATATATATATATATATATATATATATATATATATATATATATATATATATATATATATATATATATATATATATATATATATATATATATATATATATATATATATATATATATATATATATATATATATATATATATATATATATATATATATATATATATATATATATAAAAGTGGATTTTTGTCTAAAGAGTTCAGAATAATAAGTAATGAATTCACTAAGTGTAAAAGGGGCTTTACCCATTTTAAAATGTAATAATAACTAGTAATCACAGACCTTTTTTCTTAATCTCTGCATATTGCATAACAACTATAATAAATCCGTATTCGATTCTATTTTTGTTGAAATTGATTAATTTCACGTATTCCTCCCACATAGTGTAATTGATAATATTGTTTCTATAAAAAAATACATTTACAAGATAAGTATAATATGATAATCACACTTGTAGAAGTTGTAGAATTCACTTCATCGTGTACAATGAAATTTGTATAAACACACTCCGGTAATGTAATAACATAAACATGTACCGTAAGTAATGGTCATTGACGGCTAAATACACATCAAGAAGAAGTTTATAATAAAATAAACAATAAATATAGATAATTAAGCCCATGTAGAAGTATAGTGTATAACTATTATACTTTCACCAATCAACTTTAATGTGTATTTATGAACAAAATAAATATAAAACAAAAACAAAGTTAAAAATATTGTATAAACATTGAAATCATATCCAAAAATATTGAATAATAAATGATCGAAGACAAATGACAATGAAAGAGTATGAGTTATGTTATATTTTGCTATTTGAAAGGTATAATCTTGATTGTAGTTTGAAAACTCTAAATTGAGTTTTTTTGGTTTTGATGGCTATTGTCACTTGGATTGCAGTATATTTCATTGATTGGAAGTGTGTAGAGTGGGAATAAAAAAGCAAAAAATATTGGCGTACTTTCATAATTAATAATGTTATTGTTTTGTCTCATTTTTTCTAATTAGAAATAATAGGTAATTTTCAGTAATGGGGTATTTTAGTTGGTTTGGGCAAACTATGATCAAATTTGTTGGAATTTCAAAATTTTAGTCATTAAGTAATTATATTTTATGCAAGTGTCATCAAATGAAGCATGGATAATCTAGACGTTTTCAGAAGATACTACTTTTTTATATTATACAAAAGATTAAGGACGAGACACGACTCATATGAACATTCTACCCAAGCAACTACATAAAAATAAGGAATTTTTTTTTCAAATAACCAACTTTTTAATTAAATACTCAAATAACCAACATTTCACATTATTCACCAAAATAATCATATTTCAAATAAAAAAATTATATATAAGAGGATGCACCAATGTGACTGACGCATACACTCAAATTTGTACATTGGTACCAAACTCTATGGTGCATGCACTACCATCATACCAATGGGAGTGGCGCATGCTTTGGGGTCCTAATAGGATGTGCCAATACCCCTGACACTATAGTGCATTGGTTTTTATAATTAGGTATTCAGTCTCCACTTTTATCCACATATTTTCTTATTTTGTCTTCTTTTAACATGATTATTAAAATATTTGCTCATGTTTGTTATTCGATTCTCAAGTCTCCGATGATGATTCAGCTTTGGAACACTCAGACTTTTGAGTACTTTGAGAGGAGCTTGATTTGTTAGTTAGACAGAGAGATTCAAGACGGTGAAAAATTAGAAGAATTAATAGGCTTATTTCTGTGTTCAACATTCTGTGTTATGATGTTTGAACAAAATGACATTGTTTTGATGGTTGTAATATCTTTGATATGTCAAAGTATTAAGTCCTTTAATTTGTTCTTCGTGTTGTTATTTTCTGTTGTACTTGTGTTTGTATTGTTGTAACTTAAAGTTGTATTTGATATGAAATTTCATGGTTACAAAAAATAAATTACATATCAAAAGGGTATACAATAATTATGTTGTGGATCTTGCTCCAACATTTGGATAGTTTTTACGATTGTGTTCGGGCTGATGACATGCACTACATAATCTTACCATTTTGTTTGTCGTATCCATTTCGGTTCGAATAAGCATGATGTAGGATTCAAAGATATTTTCGTTATCGTGTACATGAATATGTCCCACACGACGAGTTGATAGAGCTGTAATTATGACTTTCCAGTTTTGGGAATCTCCTTAACATAGACTCTTACATTGTTGATTACAAATTTATTCTTGCATTTCTAAAAAGATGAAGACCTGAGACACACACATTTCATCTTTCTACAGTGAATATATTGTCACACTAAAGGACGTGTACATGTACATGTTATTGGATCTATGTGTCGGAGGTAAGGTAATGGTCAAGTTAACCAAGATAATGCAATATTCAAGCAACTTTTGGGTGTCGATTTATTTGAAGAAATGAAGAGGGGGCAGTGTATTAATCTAAAGTACCTTAAAAAACATTGTGCATATATGATATTCAGTGAATATTCTATAGAGAATGAAAGAATAATTAAAACTAAGTGTTACATTATGATACTATTTAGTCAATTTTTATTTCATGAAACTATCAGTAATATTGTAAATGTTATATTATGTATTTATCTTTGTTAAGTAACATTAAAATAGAAATATATAGTTGGAGTTCAACCGTTTTATCTCATCTATATAGTTCTTTGTGTAAAAATTCATATAAAGGCCCCGTTCGTTTTCCTGCGCTTTTTTCTCCAAGCATGGGGTTGTTCGAGAATGCTTTCACTAGCCCCCGTCAATGAGAACAGCTCCACATTCCTCTACGAGACAAAGTAAATTTATAATATTATTTTCATGGGTTAAATACACTTTACCCCCTTGCAATAGTAGCGAGTTTTGATTTACCCCCCTTTTAAAAAAAATTATTTTCGCCCCTTAACAAATATAGATTCCAAAACAAAAAACCTTATAGCCCAAGATTCCCTTTGAGTTTCAGACGTGGCCAGCTGATTGGGCTTCAAAATGGTGACATGGAATTGTAGCTTTAGCAATGTAAAATACAAACAAAGAAATATTCTCAAAATTTGAAGTTCCATGAGATTCAAACCCATGCACACTTGGGTGTGTTAACATTCTTCTAACCACTCGACCAACTATTGTTTGTTGAACATGTTTACCCCAAAATCAATTAATAATAAAGTCAGTTAATTATAATAACTTAGAAAATTCCATATGGGTATTTGATTTTGATCCATCTGGGTAGTCCACACGGAAGAAGGGAAGAAGGTTCATGGCGGCGGTCATCAAGTTGTGGTGGCATCACCGTGAAATTTCTCATATTCGAATTTTTTTACATCTTTGTGTTCTGTTTTTCGTCCTCATTTCAAATATTAAAACAAATTTTGAAGAAATTTAATGAAAGTTGGAAAATCTGGAAAGGGGTTTTTTAAAACCTAAGTTAAAAAGAAACAATAATCAACACAGAAAGGAGAAATAGAGCGTGGATTCAGTCTTAGAGGCGTATTATCAACCTTCAGAAGTGAAGAAAAGAAGAACATCAACGGTGGAAGGCTCTGGCAGCAGTGATATGGTGTTTTCCGACGAGGAGGGTTGAGTTTTTCGACGAGGTAATATTTTTTGTATTATCTTCACTGTGTATTTGATTTTGATT